ACATAACGAACATACTGTTCCCACGAATTAATGGACGAGGGTATATTCCTGTTATATGAAGTTGCCTTTCTTTTTAGGAAATATTCTCGTTGAATTAACTGTGTGGAAAATACTGTATATATTTTCCGGAAATGCAGTATATGTAAATTAATGGTCTCTATTGTATTTAATAAAAATTGTTATAAAAAATGGGAAGTTCTGCACCTGCACAGAGGAGACTCGCCATTGTTGTTTGAATTGGACAAGAAACGTTAATGAATAATCGGAAGAATTTTCGTCGCTCTAGAGGTTAAATTGGGCTAACACCTCTCAAATAGGAGCCGAGATTGTTGGTTGTGCATTCCTGCAAAACTTGAGATATTAGACGACTGGACAAGACAGCTCCAGGAACCTCAGATAAGCTATCTAAATTTGTGTTATAATTCTGGCCAGCATTATCTTCATAAATTTGGTTAGAATGAGGTTTTTGAGTATGATACACATTAATCACCAGTCAAATTGGTGAATGATATTAAGATATATTCTCCTTCTGTTATACAAATGTGTATAAGTATCATTTATTAATTTTAATATACAGTCCACCAATTTTTATTTTTACCAGAATTCCTGGTGTGTATGTACATTTCATTTGTAATTATAAGTCTAGAGCAACTTGTGGACATGACAGTTGTAGGTATCGAAGGAGGACGTTTTTGTGACCTAGGTGTCCCAAGTTCCTACTTGTCTAAGTAACTTTGATAAATAATAATTATCTGTAACCATTTACTGGTATGTACATTATGAGTTACATCCAGATAAATGTAATTTTTCACAAACTGTATATAAAGTTAGAATATTCTACATTAAATCCTAACTTAATCTATAGTAACTATTTTTGTTGTCTGCTTAGATCGTTCAGAAATTGAAGCACGGGTTAGAAAAGGAGCGGTACTTTACAATTACGGGTTGTTAGGAAGGGGGTTGTTTGTGTAAAATTTAATCAGATACACGAGCATCTTTTAAGTTTGTTAAAATGATCATCATTTACAGTAAATGCTGCTTATTCTAACTCTTTTCGACATAATGGATAACTTTTATATTGATTCTTCACAGTAAACCTTTTAAAACAGTCTTACTAAGACTATCGGTTATTACAGAGATCACCTTTAAATACCTCCACATAAGCATTTCCAGGGTACTTCTGTTAAAGCTGTCCTTTTTATGCTCTTATGTTTCCCAGAGTAATCAGTATTGATCCTTAAGGGTCGATCAAAGGTCGATAAATGGCAGTTCTAACTAAGCAGAGGAACAGACCGAACCTGGAAGAGCATGGTGACTTACGACTAAAACGCTCCAATCTCCATCCAAGAAGCAGTGCCCTTGTTGACGCTCATTATTATGATTCATAGTACCATTGAACTACTATTTATTAAGTTATTTTCATATAAATGTTTGGGGTCGATGAAGAAATTTGAAACTTCATGAAGGAGTCGATGAGCTGAAGAGTTTGGGGACCCCTGATTTAGTGTAAAGGCTTCCTATATCAACCACTTTGAAAGTGCTAATGTATTGTAATGACTTTTGCAATAAATGCCTCTCTCATAATTTACCTCTCCACCTTACAACACGCCTCCCACATTCATAAAACATTTTAGTGGCCCAACACCTCCCATACCCCATTTACATACCCATTAGAAATTCCTCAACCTCCAACTCTGGATGCGGGGTGTTCTCCTGGAGTGTGGTTTTTGTGTTCGCAGTCAGAAAGTGTGAGACTTCTCTCTGCCTAAGGTTCGTCTTTTGATGGGGATCACAAAGTGTTGAACCCTTGTGGTGACCAGTTTCACAAGTACCTTCACACTGCCTATGCATTTGGCTGCTTCTGTATCTGTGCGTAGAGGGATGCTTCGTGGTACAGGTATAATACATAGCTTCAGTCTCGCAGAACATGGATGATTTACACTCCTGTCTTGCTCTCTTCAACCCGACCCTATACAGTAGATAACGAACGAATTTTGTTACAACAAATTAATAAATTCATGTTTGTATATTTTGATTGTTGGCTGTAATATTTAGATTAAATTAAAATATATCAGTATTCAATTTTGAAGGTTGCTTATATCGCTCAGAGAGCAATAAAACATGTATAAACGTTAGAGATCAAATAACTGTGTATAAACGCCAGGGAGCAAACAACTGTGTATAAACGTTAGAGAGCAAGTAAATGTTAGACCAAACAATGTGTTTTGTGACTGAATATTATTAAGGTCACCGGCTTCGCTTACTTGCTGCTCCAAGTTTTTTTTTAACTGTCGGCTCACCGGTCACTGAAGCTAGCTTTCCAGTCTTAAATATTCTACTTTATTTTAGTGTGTTGGAACATATTAGAAAATCATCTTGCAAGTTCTGATATGACGCACAAATGCCAAACAGGAGAAGCGTCATTTACGTTTTTCCCCACATGACCATAGGGTGACATGCACGTAAAAGGGGTTACAAACTGAGCACTAGGTGAACCTGTTAATACCGCTCATCTCAACCCCTTGTTTCCTTCTTGAGTATGTCAGCTTGACAGATGACTCAAATTACAAATGTTGCATTTACTAAAGTAACAAAATAAAACAATTCTTAACACGACATGATTGCGTTTTGTCTTACCTATGTTTGACCCCTTGTATGAAATTTGTTTCCACTGTCATGACTCGTTCCACTTAATTACCACTCTTTCATCAAAGGAATATTAACTAATATCCTTGCATTTTGTATGGGTGTGTAAAACATGCAACTGTTGAAGCCTCTCAGAAGTTGCATTATAAGTTATGGAAAGTTGAAACTAATCAGGTGCGACATTCAGACATGATTCCATGAAAAGCAGTATTTCAGTTCGTTTCCTCCAAAAAGGCAAATTGGGACTTAAACAGACCAAAATCACTCCAGACTTGACCAGATTTTAAGAAAGTACAGAAATCCTTCATTTGTTATGTAAACTTACGGTATATGACATACAAAAGTTTAACAATGGACTTGAGAGTGCGCACACATTTAGACAAAAGCACATAAAATTGATTTAACCTAAGATAACCAAATATAGTAAAACACTGCTTCTTCTGATTAGACGATAAATTCTCCAGTTATTTCAGGAACCAATTTGATTAATAAAATTGGCATATAACTTACACTTGCCCACCTGTTACGATCCGGCTATGGCCAGGCTAAAAATTGAGTCTGAAGCTGTAGTTATAGCCATACTGTGGAGAGATCTTGCAGCATAGCATCTACAGCTCTCAAAGGACACCCCTCAAGGAAGGCTCCTTGATGTTGGTGAGGGGCTCTTGATTTAGGGAATTGGATCTGTGCTCCAGTTCCCCGAATTAAGCCTGAATGCCTTCCACATCCCCCCCCCCCAGGCGCTGTATAATCCTCCGGGTTTAGCGCTTCCCCCTTGATTATAATAATAATAATAATAATCTCAAAGGACAATTCGGTGATCAAGACTTGTGGACCTAGGCATCTCCATGACGTCTTCTGATCATAGCGACCCGGTGGAGAAAGTGCTTGCCACCAGTTATTTGAACCCGAGTTTTTTTGTTTTTTTTTATTCGCCGGTATTCTCCCGGCCCGGGTCTTTTCCAAGTAGTGTGGCATCGTTTTCCACTGGTCGAGAGTGAGGAGGCTATTGGGATTCTGAATCCTGGAGTGGTTGTGATTCGACAGATTAAGAGGATGACGGGTGGAGTCGAGTTCACTGGTCCTTACTTTAGACCAACTGGTCTTAATCTACATAGATCGTAAGTGGAGAGACTTGGATATAAAGCCATATATTCCCTTCGTAGTACAGTGTTTCATGCAAGAAGCTTGCTCACCAGTGAGTAAAGTGTTGCATGTGGAGATGATTTCTCCACTACCTTCTCTATCCTTTACTGGCATTTTTGCAGTCTCAAGTGTGGGGAATGGGGGGAGGAGAGTGAGTCAGTGAGTGTGTCAGTGCTGTGCTATGTAAATGTACTTATTGGACATAACTCCTGCATCTTGGCATATCATATGCGGTCATCACTCTTAACCGTAGGACCCTACATGCTGTGGAGCCTCGCTGGGACAGAGCCCTTCCCCTCGCTAGGAAATTCTTCCTGCCCATCCTTTGGGCAACTTACCAGTAGCCCTCACCCTTTGCCAGTTACCAAAAGAGTCCTCTGTTCGCTCCAGGGTTCAGTGCAATCTTCGCTGCTCTTGTGCTGATAGCTCGCTCAGTTGGTTCTCGTTTCTCAGATTCCCCCCCATGTGCTCCTGTTTGCCCCGGCCCAGTATGTTTTTGTCCACCATGTGGTCCAAAAGATCCTGGAGTGGTTGGCACGTCTCCTCGCCCATCACATGGAAGTGGAGTTCTGTTGGTGTCCCGGGAAATGAGCAAGTGGATACCGAGGCAAAGGCTACTATAAAGCCCACTCTTTTGCCCTACAGTGACTTTCTGGGCAATATCCACAGGTATGTTCTTGGGAATTGGCAGGCCGGTGAACATTGCAGTTGGGGAACAGGTTATACAGGGTTCGGCAGGACATGGATGTTTGACTCTCCTTTTAATGGAATCTTCACTTTGAGATGAATCTCTTGAAGAGGATCAGTCACACTCATCTCTTCTATCATCAGCTGTTTGTAGGTGCTCCTGTGCCCAATGTGTAGCTCCTAATGTGCTGCTGATGGTGAGCCATATTTTAACAGTTTACCTTCAGCTTGGGACTTTTAGCCTCCTTAGTTTTCGTGTAATTACCGAGGTGCCTGCAGGGACCTCGAGGAACTTTCAGAAAAGTCTTTGGGCATTCATAATTTAATATGAAACTATGAATGGTTGTGAGTAATTCATATTTTTATTGTTTTTTAATATGAGAGTATTTTTACCAGCAAATCTTAAGTATTTAGATAAAAGCACAAATAGCAACTTGCACCAAATTATTGGGCTTTTTAGTGTTTTTTTTTTTAGTTGTATGCACGTTCACTCAGAATAACTCGGTTGTTATGTTTTCCAGGTTGGCAGAGCCGTGGGAAAACTTCGTAACTTCATCATTGAACCATTCTTGCCTCATGACCAGAGTGATGAGGCCTATGTTTGCATCTACTCTCATCGCCATGGGGACACCATTCTTTTCACACATGAAGGAGGGGTGGACATTGGTGATGTTGATACCAAGGCTCTTAAGCTTGAAGTGGGTATTGAAGAAAAGCCAACAGAAGCTCAGATTAAAGAGCAGCTACTTACACACATTAATGGCACTCGTAAAGAGTAGGTTTTTTTTTTTTTTGTAATTTGAGAAATTCCCTATTTTCATTGCTTTCAAAAATATACTGGTATTGATATGTTTGTGGTCAGAATTTTCAGTTGTAAAACTGAGTAATAATTTTCATTGATACTGCAATCAGTTGATTTTTCTTCTTTCAGCAAAGCTGCTTCATTTATCAAGGCGCTCTATGATCTGTACGTTGGCCTCTACTTCACATACCTGGAGATCAACCCACTCGTAATTACCTCAAAAGATGTATACATTTTGGATTTAGCTGCCAAATTAGATGCCACTGCAGAGTTCATGTGCAAGTCAAAATGGGGTGATATAGATTACCCACCTCCATTTGGCCGAGATGCTCTACCTGAGGAAGCCTTTATAGCCGACCTGGATTCTAAAAGTGGAGCTTCTCTCAAGGTACAGTAGGCCCAGTTCTCTACATCTGCTTCTGTATTACCATACTTTTATTAACCCTTTCAGGGTCCAAGGCCCAAATCTGGAGTCACGCACCAGTGTCCAAGAATTAAAAAAAAAAAATTTGTTATTTTTTCTTATGAAATCGTAGAGAATCTTTTTGTGAAGGTAATAAAACAAAAAGTACGAAATTTGGTGGAAAATTGACGAAATTATGCTCTCGCGAATTTTGATGTCTCAGCGATATTTACGAATCGGCGATTTTGCCGACTTTGACTCCCATTTTAGGCCAATTACATTATTCCAATCAACCAAATTCTTAGCTATTTCACTAGTATTACTTCTATTCTATCGATTGAGCACAAGAAATCGCCCAAGTCAACTGTTTCAACTACAAAATAAAGTGATCGGAAATTGTTAATTTGGCCAATTTAACACAAAGTTCAAAATATTCCAATTTCAAAATAGGGTCCAGAATGAACAATGTAGGCATTCCTGGCACTAAACTAACATTTCCTCTGTTCATTAGTTATGTTTTGAGGCTTTAAAAAAATTCCATTTTATTTTTTATTCACATAATGAATTTTTTATTCACACCAAAAAATAGAAGATTTACTGTTATGCAATATTGTAATAATTGTATAAATATCATCACCATATTTGTGAATGTATATTAGACCACAGCTGGCGTGTATTAGATGTGTGAGGTCTTGTTTACTCTTGAATATCGGCAAAAATTTAACATTTCTGATACTTTGAGCTCAGTTTCAAGCCATTTCCAGTGCTAAAACCAATCAAAATCATCTCTATTTCTGTAATATGTCTTCCATTCTATCAAATGAGACCAAGAAATCGCAAATACAATATAAAAAACATACGAAAAAACACTGCAAAGTTGCTGTTTTAATCGAAAAATCATGATTTAATTTTTTTTCTCTCATTATACACAGTGTGCTGCAGGATCTGTTTTATGTGGTGCACACATACCACATAGATGTATTCTCTCATATCTAGGCCCAAATGTACCACTCACAGTTTATCAGAGTGAGCTGAGCTCATGGCGTAGATCTACGGTTTGGACCCTGAACGTAAAGCCGTAGATCTACGGGACGGACCCTGAAAGGGTTAAAGAAATATACTGTTCACTGTGGGATATACTTTTCCTGAATTGTTAAAATATTAGGCGATGCTCAAGAACTTGATTCTTATGTCATACAATATTTTTGGATAAAATAAGATGTTTAAAATAATTAAAAGTTTCAAGTGGTACTGTAAAATACAAGAAAAAAATTGGATCTTTTTCAGCAATCTCAGTGTACTTGTGGCCTTGCCTTTTTTTTTTATTATAATTGTGGCCTTTTGTTCTCTTGTCTAATACTAAAAAAAAAAAAATCTTCAGTCCTCTATTTTCTTGTATCCTTTTGATCATACATGTTCTACAATATTTAGTTTGTAACAACAAGTTTTTATTAGGATGTCTTGATTTTTGTACATCTTTATCAAGTAATGATAAAGTTCTGCACAGAGCAAAATATTGTCCCATTTTTTTTTTTTTTTAAAGGTCTGTAATATTCTGTTTGGATTCAGATGAGAGCATTTTTCAATGTTTGTGTATTACAATGCAACACAGTACAGTATTTGAAAATGTTAACCCTTTGACTGTCACAACCCCAAATGTTAACCCTTTGACTGTCACAACCCCAAATGTTAACCCTTTGACTGTCACAACCCCAAATGTTAACCCTTTGACTGTCACAACCCCAAATCCTGAGGTGTCTCCTGGTGTTGCAAAATATATGAAAAAAAAAATTATTTTTCTCATGAAATGATAAAGAATCTTTTCCCAATGGAAACTGCGTATTTACTGATTTCAACTACCCAATAAAATGGTCAGAACTTGTCAATTTGGCCAATTTCACACAAAGTAAACAAAATGCCAGTTTCAAAATAGGGTCCAGAATGAACAATGCAGACATTCCTGGCTCAAAAATTACATTATCTTTGTTCATCAGTCATGTCTCCAGGCACCTCTGATATTACTCTTGCTTTCTATTTTGAATTTTTATTCAAACAAAAAATAGAAGATTTATTGTTATGCAGACTTCTGCAATATTGTAATTGTATAAATAATGTCATCTCATTCATGACTGCATAATAGAATGGCTAGTTGGACATTTATTGGACAATGACATCATTTGTTTACTATTGAACATCGGCAAAAATCAAACATTTCCCCTACTTTGAGTTCAATTTCAAGGTCCTTTTCATAGTAAAACCAATCAAAATCACCTCCATTTGTATAATATGTTTTCCATTCTATCAAATGGGACTACAAAAACGAGAATATAACCATAAAACTATACGAAAATACACCTCAAAGTCGGCGTTTTAATCCAAAAATATGGTCGGAGATTTTTTTTTTTCTCATTGTGCACTGCATGCTGCAGGATTTTTTTTTATACAGTTCACACTGACCACACAGACCCATTCTCTCACGTGTGGGCCTACCAGCTTTCTCCTGCTTGATTTGAAGCCGCTAGAATTTTTGAGTATACGTATATACGTCAAATGCATTGGCTCGTAAGATGTATATATATGACTGAAACAGTCAAAGGGTTAATGTTGTGTATATGTTGACTTGAGCACTGACTCGGTGCACTGGCACACTGGCTCCCACAATGTGTTGTAATATGAGTTCTATTTTTCCAGCTGACTATCCTCAATGAGAGAGGTCGTATATGGACAATGGTTGCTGGTGGAGGAGCATCAGTCATTTACTCTGACACTATTTGTGAGTTAGGAGGGGCTGAAGAACTGGCCAACTATGGTGAATATTCAGGAGCACCCTCAGAACAACAGACCTATGAGTATGCAAAGACCATTCTTACACTCATGACAAAAGAAAAGCATCCTGATGGAAAGGTTTGATTTTCTTATAATTCTTTCACAATGACTTGTTGATTCATTACACTGGTCTGCATGATTTTTTTTAATTAAGTCTATGGTATCTTTTTTTGGTATATATGGAAAATAGTGATTCATTGTGTTTTTTATTCATCTCTATCACATCAGGCTGTCAAGTTATACGGAAACGTTACTTTTCTCTTTTCGTATAACGTGAGTAAATGAGAAAGTGGTATATTACTAATTGAAATGCTTATGTTATATTCACTTAAATGTTAAATCTATTTTTCTTCTTATTCTTTTTAGTAATTATTACAGGAAAAGGGGTTATTAGCCCATTGTTCCTGGCATTTTAGTTAAATCTAATATATTTTTCTTTATTTTCAGATTGTTAATATGTTTAGAGGCTGCATAAATTAACCAGACATACTTGCTATGTCTGGGGTCAGTTCGCCTTTTCAGATTCCTGGAGCAACATTACTCCTTTATTGAAGTGCTGCTACTTTACTTATTTTGGCTGCAAACTTGGAGACGAAGCTTGCAAGAGTTGCATCAGTCAGCTCCAAATGTGGTCATACCATTGGAGTACCAATGGTATGGCAGGAGCAGATGAACCACCATGAAGACTGCTACTTTTGTATGACTAAAGTAGCTGGGTTCAACAAGAAGATTAAAGATCACATGATATACCCAAATATTCCTTCAGCAATAAGGCCTGTTCCACACACTGAAGATATTCCTGCACTTGTGCCACCTGAGACATGGCAAATTTCATGAGTCTGATACCAGTGATTCTAAGGAGATGGTAGTAGACTATGAACCACCAACAAATGATGATCCCAAACCTTTCAACCAAGTTGAGCTCCAAAAGAACATGCATAGTTGCTTGGCTCTAGACTGAAGGAACACAGGCTTCTAGCTCCTGGAACAACATTCGCTTGGTACCGTCATCGTGAAGCAGAATTCACTTGGTTCTTTGACAAAGAGGAATCTTTAGTTTTCTTTTCAAATATTTCTGACCTTATTAAACACATGGGGATGTCATACAAAGCAGATGAGTGGAGACTCTTCATTGATTCTTCTAAAAGAAGTTTAAAGGCTGTACTTCTCTACAATGGCAACACAGCCAATTGGCCATAGTGTCCAAATGTCAGAAACTTACGCAAATATGAAGCCAATAATATCTGCAATCAAGTGCAGTACCAGAATCACAATTTTTCTCATTTGTGGTGATTTAAAAATTATTGCTCTCCTAGGTCTTCAAGGCGGATACACCAAGTATCCCTGTTTTCTGTGTTTTTGGGATAGTCAGGCAGACAGCCAGCACTGAACAAAAAGACTGGCCACCAAAAACCAGCTTCTTTCCGGAAATTTTCACAATTGAAAAAAAACTGGGGTATTCCCCCCAAAGGTTCTGCCCCGACGGAAAAATAAAAGTTTCCCTTCCGTTATATGTGGAAAAAGGAAATTTTAAAAAAAAAGGAATCTTTTGTTTGGTCAATTTCAAAAAAAAAGAAGGGCCAAATTTTGGGAATTTAATAAAAAAAAGGGGTTTAAAAAATTTCCTTTTTTTTTTAAAGTTTTTATTTTTCCCAAAACCTTTGGGAAAAAAAAACCCCCCAAATATAAAAAATAGGGCAAGACCCCTTTTTTAAAAAAAATTTAACAACTTCCCTGGAAGTGTTGAAATTAATTTATGAACTCCATTTTAATCTTTTTAAAAAATTTGAAAAATTTTCGGGAAGGAACAAAAAGGGTTTTTCCTTTAAGGAAAATTTTTTTAAATTTGGCCAATTTTTAAAAGGAAATAATTACCCGGGTTGAAAAATTTTGTTGGGTTTGTAAAAAGGGGTCGGGGTTTTGGCAACCCGGGAAAATAAAGGGTTCCCCTTTGGGGATTTCAAGTGGCTCCTAATGCATTTATTTTTTAAAAAAATTTTGAAAAGGGTTAAAATTTGGAATTAAAAAGAAAAAAAAAAGGGGAATGGGGATTAAGGTTATTGCAATTTTCAAAAAATATTTTTTTTAAAAGTTTTTAAAATTAAATTTTTTAAAAGATCATTTTTGTTTTTGGGGTATTAAAACCATGGGTTTGAAAATAAAAAATCATTTTTAAAAAGGGGAAGTCCCGGGAATCGGGGCAAGGAGAACATGTTTAAAAAAATAAAAAATTTTAAAACCAACCCTTCCCAAATGGGTTTTTAAATTATAATTTTGGGGTTGGGGGAGAACCAGGGGGTTTAAATTAAAATTGGTTTAAAAAATGAAAATTTTCTTTTAAAAAATGCTTTTCCAAAATTTTTGAGGGTTTTAAATTTTTAAAAGGTTTAAATGGTAAGGGGGAAATTTTAAAAAAATTTAATTAAGGGTTGTTGTTTAAAAATTTAAAAGGGGTTGGAAAATTGGAAAAGGGGGGAAAATTTGGGGCGAGGGTTTTTTGGAAAGGGCGTGGGGTTTAAAATTTAAAGGGAACAAAAAACCCCCGGGGTTTTCCAAGGCCCTTTCGGGATACCCCCAGTGCCCCGGAATTTAAAAAAAAAATTTGCAGAAAATTTGGGGAAAATTTTTGGAAGGTTAAACAAAAAGAAATTTTGGGGGAAAACGGGAAAAAAAGGTTAGAAATTTTAACCAAAAAGGTTTTTGGGTTTTAAAATTTTGGGAATTTAACAATTAATAAAAATTTTGGGGGGTAATATCCAGTTTTATTTTATTAACGTTGGTAAACAAAAAATGGGTTTTTCCTAAAAAAAAGGGATAAAATTTTTAATTTTCAAAAAAAGAAAAATTTTTTTTAAAAAGGGCCCATTGAACTTAGGCTTTGGAAAAAAACTTTCCTTTTCTTTTTGGGAGGCAACAAAAAAATATTATGAATTAAAAATTTTTTTTTTTAAAACCCCAAAAAAAGGGGGGTTTTTAAAAATTGAAAAATTTGTTTAAAAACGGGGGAAAAGTGAATTTTAATTCCCCTTGGGGCAATTTTTGGGTTTTTGTTTTTTTAAATGGCAAAAATTTCAAAATTTGGAATTGGGGAGGTTTTTCGGATTTCCCAAAAACCAATTTTCCAACGGGGAAAGGGTTTTTATTGTTCGGCCCAAATTAAAAAAAATCAAAAAAATTTCAAAGGTTTTTAATCCCAGTTCCTTTTTTTTTTAAAAAGGGGGGCGGGAAGGGGGGCCAAAAATTAAGAATTTTTAAGGAAGGTTTTTTCGAGGGGTTTGGAACCCACCCGGGGATCTAATTTTGGATTGAAAAAAGGAAAGTTAAGGAGGCCCCAAGGGGGTTTTTAAAATTTTAAAGGCTGTTGTAGTGTGAACAAAGTAACATTTAAAAAGGGGGTTCAGGGAAACCCGGCGGGCCCGGGACTTGAGTCCAAGAAAAGGGAATGCAGTGCCTTCACTCTGAAGGAGGGTTTTAATGTTGCAGTTTAAAAATTTGAAAGTGTAAACCCCCTTTCCGGGCAAGACAGGGGATGGATGAATGAGGGGAAAGTTTTTTTTTTCGGGCCCCCGCCTTGGGGGGAATGGGCCCAAAGGTATAAAAAAAAAATAAAATTTAAATTTTAGGAAAGGGCCAAAAATTTTTTTAAATTGTAATCAAAACTATGAAAAACTTTCTTGTGTATAGACATCCTTCTAATTAAACGGAATGACTTGTATATTTTTAGTCCTTTTGGGTTTTAAACCAAAAATTTTAAGGGTTTAAATTAAATTGGATTTTTAAATTAAAGGGCCCTTTTAAATTTTTTTATTTTACGGTCCTCAAAATTTGGCGGGGGCCTTCCCAAATTTCCCACCAATGTTGGAAACCCTTTTAAAGGGTTTGTACGACCCTTGCAACAGTTCCAAGCTAAGTTAGAAGGGGGGAAAAGTTACCCAAAATTTGTTCGCCGTGCTGGACCCCAACTACCGGGAAGGCCCCTACGGAAATTTCACTTAAATTGAAATTTCCACAAAAATGAATTAAACGAGTTTTTCTAAGGGGAAAAAAATTTAAATTTTTTGGGATCTGAAAGAAAAAATTTTCCCCTTTATTTTTTTAAAAATTAAAGACAAATTTAATATGTGTAACTGCGAGAGCCCTAGTTTTAAATTTGCAATAAACCAAAGAATTTTGAATTTTACTCAAAATTTATTTTTGTTAAAGATTTTTCCCAAAATTTGGGAATTTTCACTGTTAATTTTTTTCACTGTCAAATTTTTTTTCCCCCCCCTTCCTTAAGGGGCCAAGAAAAAAAAATTTTTTTTCCCATTTTTTCTAATAACCTTTAGCTTTGAGCTTTTATGCATAGTGATAAGGGTGCCAACTTTAAATACTTTTCCCCATATTGTGTGTAAAATTGGCTGAAAAAACAAAAAAAACAAAAAATAAAAAATCATGTTACATCATTATGTTTTTTGGGAAATAAAAAAAACATCCCAATTGGTTTAAGTGTATTTTTGAAAGTGCTTCTGTAATTTCATTTTGGGGGGTCTGAATGGACAAAAAAAATTTTACATTTTTTCCCTTAAAGGGAAAAAAATCCTTTTCCGGGAAAAGGGCACCAAACCCCAGCCTTCGGGGTTTTGAATAAATTTGGGTAACTCTGGGTCCCCAATGCATATTGTTAAAATCCCCTTTAAATTTGGGGTTTTTTTTCACAATTAGGTTTGGGGGCCCTTAAAAAATTTTTTTTTTTTTTTTAAATGCTAAAACAAAATTTTCATTCCAAAATTTTTTTTGCTTAAAAGTTTGTAAAGAATTACTAAAACAATAACGGAAAACGATTAAACACCCTTTACGGGGTTTTATAAATTTAAAAGGGTTCAGGGAAACCCCGGGCCCGGACTTGATCCGGGGAAAAGGAAAGCACAGGGGCCTGCACTTAAAGGAGGGTTTTAAAAGTTGCAGTTTAAAACTGTAGGGGAAAAGCCCCCTTCTGGCAAGACATATGGAATGAAGAGGGGAAAAAATTTTTCTTTTTTTTTCCCCCCCCGCCTTGGGGGAATGGGCCAGGGGAATAATAATAAAAAAAAAATTTTTTTTTTTTTAAACACACTGGCCATCTCCCACCGGGGGCAGAGGGGCCCAAAAATGAAACTTTCCCCAAGGGTTCACACCACCCCACTGTTTTCCCCAAAGGGTTTTTTCTGATCCCGATATTTTCAGATGATTTTTTCGGGGCAGCAATACCCCCATCCCCTCTTCTAGAGGGGCGGGCCCTGTATTTTCCCACCTCCTGGACTCAAGTTTGGCAAACCCCCTTTTTTATTTTTTTTTTTTTTTTTTTTTTTTTTTTTTTTTTTTTTTTTTTTTAAACCCAATTTGGTTTCGTCTCCCACCGGGGCAGGGTGCCCCAAAAAAAAGAAAGAAAATCCCCAAAAAGAAAAATTTCATCATCATTCAACACTTTCACCACACCCCCACCCCTTTAAACCCCTGTTTTTTGTAGAGGTGCACAGAATACAACATTTTTTAGAAGCAAATACTTAAAGATACAAAACAACCCTCCAAACCCCAATACCCCAAAACCCCCCCTTTCAAAGTGCGGGCATTGTACTTCCCATTTCCGGGACTCAAGCCGACTAAAAAAAAAAACCCGGGTTTTTCCCCTAAAACCCTTTCCCTAAATATTACCCTCCCTCACCTCCAACAGATCGTCAGGCCCCCCAATATCTTTTCCTCCCATTCCCCTCCAAACTAACACCTCATGAAACGCTTCGGGAATTTCCAAGCCCCTCGCCCACAAAACCCCCTTTCCCAACCCCCACTTCCAACCCTTTCGGGGAGACCCCTCCCCCCTCTTTCCCCCCCTTTATAGATTTAAAATGTTTTCCATGCCCATTCTATTTTGACCTTTTCTCCTAAATGCCAAAAACCCCCCCTCACAACCCCTTTTCGCCCTCTGACTAATGCTTTTTTTAAACCCACCCTTCTCCTAATTTCCCCCCTTTAAATTCGAATTTTTCTGCAAATTTATTTACACCACACTTGGCCCTTAGACGGACATTCCCACTGCCTCCAACCGCCCTCCTGCTGAAATTTACCACCCCCCAAAAACCTTCACATCCCTAAAAGTTTGGGTACTACTATATTTTCATACTTTCCCTTTCTTTGCCTCCATAAAAACTTTTTTTTGACCCCACATAAAACCTAAAACGCACCACTCCCCCTTTTTTTCCCCTAAATCAATTCTAGGTTAACCCTAAATCCTTCATAAACCACCGCCGACACGTCAACTCCCAAAAACTAAAAACTTTTTCACTTCTTTCCATACTCCCCCCCCCAATTTAAATATCCAATTTTTTTTTTTTAAAAATTTAATTTGTTTACCCCATAAACCTTCCTCTTTTCTTGTTCACTTTAAATTTTTCCCCAAACCCTTTAAAAACACTTTCTCAAACCCACCCACTAACCTTTGCAATTTTTTTTAGAATCTCCCATAAGCACAGTACCCACAAGAAAAAAGTAACTGTGCCCCAATTTCCCCCATTTTAATTTGTTTCCCCCAAATTTAACCCCACCCCCCCCCCCAACCCCCCTAAAATTTACTTCTTTTGCAACCCCACTATAAATAAATTTAAACAACCATGGTAAACATTACACACCCGTCTAAAAAACCTACTTTTACCCCGGGAAGTATTCTCCCTTTTTCCTTTTTTACACCCCAAAAACCTAAGCCTCACTATCCCATAAAGCTTTTTAAACAAAATTTAGAAACTACCACCTTTTCCCCATAAACTTGCAACATCTCCACATTGTTTTCCCCTTAATCCACTCTATCATATTTTTTTTTCTAAATCTATAAATAAATAAAAACCCCCTACCTTTTATCTAAAAACTTTTCCCACAATATCCCTTTAAATGTGAACACTTTGATCTACAAAAACCCCTACCCACTAAAAAAAACCCTTTTTCTCATCCGCAATCCTCCATTCTGTCTTGCCTCTAATTCTTTCAATAATAACCCAACCCGTCCATTTTTTCCCCTGGAACTCAAAAAATTTTTTCTTTTTTTCAACCCCCAACCCGGCCGAATCCCCCCCAAAGGGCGGGGTGGCTCAAAAAGAAAAATAAAATTTCTTTTTAAAATTTTTAAGTAATTTATAGGGGAAAAGGGGGTTTTACTACCCCTTTGCTCCCCGGCTTTTTTAGTCCCCTCTTACAACACGCATGGTTTAAGGGAGAAAATTTCCCTTTTCCTTTTCCCCCAAAGGAAAACTCGATAAACTTCTTCCCCTAAAATTTTTTACAAACCTTTTTTTCCCCCTTTCCCCTTTTAATAAAGGGCCCGTAAAATGCCTCGGGCCAACCCCTAGGTACCCCCCCCTTTTTTCCTACATTTATTAAACAAAAGAAACCAAACCCACTCCAACACTATATCCCCCCCTGTTTTTAAAACTTTTTTTCTGTCTTTAACCCATCAGTTTCCAGCTGTTTTAAACCCCCCTTTCTTTCTCCGAAATGCCTCACAAAAACCTTTCCCCCACACTTACATTTGCTCTTTTTCACTCCAAAAAGATGGTATACCTCCCGGGCCAGGCTAAAATTACCGCCCCCCCCTTTTCTTCCCACTTTTAAAAAGTTCCTCAAAAAAATCCGCCATCTACCAATCCCCTCCCTCTCCCCATCTACTAACTCCCCTACTTTTTTTTTAACTGAAAAAACCATACATTTCCCTGGGCTTTCTTAACTTGTTTAACTCGCCCCAAAAAAATTTTTCTTTTTTTTAAAAAAAATTTTTTCATGACGTGCCCCTCCCCGCTATCATCTCCCTCCCCTTTTTGGGACTCTCCCCCACCCAACTTTTCACCTTTTTTTTTAAACTCTCCATATACTTTTCTCTTTTTAAACATTTTTGCTTTGAAAAAACCCCCCATAAGCTAACTTTTTCTTTTATCAAAACCCTTTCCCTTCTTCATTCCACCAGAAAACCCTCCCCCCTTTTCCCCTTCTCCCCACATTCTAATACTGAAATTTTTAAAACTATTCCAACCCCTTCCCCCCCCAACTACTAAATTTTTTGCACTAGCCCCCCTTTTCTCCCCAATAGCGTTTAAAAATTTCACCCAAACTCCCCTCCCTTATTTTATGCACTTCATTTCTCTCCTACTTGTTGTTGCCCCCTTTCCTCTTGCCCCATCTACCTCTTACCCCAACTGTACCCTAAAATTTAAAAATGATCTGATATACATTCCCCCTCTATAAACATGTACATCCTGGACCCTCCCCCTTTAAAACCTTTTATTCCCCCCAAACGGGATAGGTTGGTAGACAAAAACCCCACCCGGGGAGAAAAAACAAAGCCGAAATTTGTTTTAAAATGATGGTAGGACCGGGTGTCTTTTTTTGTCTCATAAAAAAGAAAAATTTACGGGTTTTTTCATGCTATTTTCTACTTACACTTGGCACCCCAAACACATACAAGTACAAGTTTATTTATACACACTCATCTGAGTTTTCTTTGATTTTCTTTAAAATTCTTTGGGCTTATTACATTTCCTTTTTTTTAAAACCATTGGGGGGAAATGGGAAAAAGAAACTTTCCCCCGGGAACCATGCTGTTGAAAAAATCAACTAAAAGCCGGGAAAAAATGGGCTATAACCCCTTTTCCCGTAAAGATTACAAAAAAAAATAAGAAAAGAAAATTGTCAAAGTTGGGGGAAATCCGAATGTGCATGGATGTTTGCCCAAAAGATAAAAAGAGATGATTGTGGGTTTATGAATGAGAAGCTTTTTGGGTTAAAAAAAGGGGGGAAAAGTTTCAATTGGGGAAAGGAAAAAAATTGGGGTTAGGTCAAAGGGTTTCAAAATAGTAAAACAAAAAAAGGAGTAGAATAATGTTGAAGGATAACAAAAGGCAGAAAAAAGGGACTACCTATGTATTAATTCAAGGATTATATGGAAAAAGTTTTTTAAAAAAG